AGTCAGCCGTTGCCAACTGATTGATTTGTATTCTCCGATCCGAGTCTCCGGCTCTTGCACAGACATACGTGCACACATATACAGGCACAACAAACGCGCACGCGTCCAGGTCTCGCGTGTGCGCTTGCGAGGAAGTGTGCTAAACTCCGCAGGATTTATGTTCTCCCCTAATTGCGTCGCTTCCCATCGCCGCAGGCTTTGCCCCGAGTGCGATCGAGATTGCTTTCGATCCTTATAGCTACTAATCGGAAGCTCGCCTAATTGTCGATATGAGCCTCACGGGCTCGGGCACAAAGGAGATCGAGGGTTACGAGCAGCCGGACCACGAGTCTGGCATTTCGGCAGAATCGCTACAAGGATGCTGGTGTCATTAACGTGCGACAAGTGTTTCGGCAAATAGACAAGGGACTATTCTCTCCCTCTCTCTCCCTGCAAATAATTTTCATTCAATGATCTTTTCATCTCTTGCTTATTTCCTAACAGTATTTTACGTAAACATTTCTGAATTCAGTATACGTTCCAAGATATAGAGGAATTTAAACAAAATTTTATATGAAACTGTTATAACTCGTCGTGGATAGAAGAGATTAATTAAAATTATCTATGATAACAAAAAAATGATTTGAATGTCATTTCAAGATATTTTTAATACGTAGTTATGAGAAGAGTATGCAAATATGAAAAACCTTTCTGATATACCAAGAACTATAGAAGCCGCTCGATCAAATGGATGAAAAAAAAAATTAATTAGTTAATAATAACAAACGTCTCCATAATAAATATTCTGTAATGAAAATTTGATATTTGTAGTTTCCTTTCAGTTTGCTATTAACTTGTTTGAGTGATTTATTTATATTTCGATGATACAACATTTTTATGATCAATTGATCATTTTAATAATTGAAACGAACTCAAGTCGATTATCACCGAAATCGTATCAAGTACGCTGTTTTAAGAGCGTTTGATAACAACTATTAGATAAAAAATATAAATAAATAGTAACAATATCTTGTTAAAAAGTATTTTAGAGATTCTTAGTTTTTGTAAAACTTCATTTTTTAAACCGATCTTAGGGAATGAAAATGGTGACAATAGAACAGATTTGTAGTATTTGGGATAAAGAAGACTATTATTACATCCCAATGAAGTGATTCGTTAATAAATTAGTAAAATTTTAGAAGTTGTATATTCATATTTATGAATGTTTCTGCTGAAAAAATCACATTCCATTTAGGGTATAAATTATCATCTAAATTGTTCTATCAATAAAAATTTCTGCGTTTTAAAATGAGTTTAATGTTGTTAATAGATAGGACTATTTGTACAAATTATTTATGTTTTATTTGTAACTTAACTTAATGGAAACTTTATTGGCTCAACGTATGTTACATTGCCATGATACGTTTTATTTGTATAAAGAATTGAAATAGTGCTGACATCTAGCACATTTTTGAGTTAATAAAGTGTGATGTGCAATAATGTAACAATTATAAAGTTGATATATATAAATAAATACACATACGCATATATACACACACACTCCAAATATCTAAATTCACATGATATAACAATGATTACACTATATTAATTTGATACATTAGAAAATAAATTAATACCAAAAGTCGATAAGTCAGAAAATGTTATGGCAATTACCTAACTCTACTGCCGGTACAATGACGTGCGGGAATCGTATATGTATCCCACTAGGTAAAAGAACTCTTGCTAAAATGAAAATGTTGAATTAGATAAAAACTGATTCTAATTTAGTACTACTCAATCATATCTATATATTTTTTAATCTCCCTCTCTCTCGCAATTTAAAACAAACGCTAATAACAAATTTTATTTATATTTTCTCTCTTTTTTTCTCTGTTACTCCGCCTGATCATCGACCGATGTTGTCATCGTGGCTGTTTGACAATATTTGGCAATATTTGACAATAACAATTCGTGCGCCGGTACGTCTGTAGTTGCGTGTATCATGGTGAAGAATCCGTGCGCAGTCTTTGTTGTTTATTGCACGCTGTGCTCCAGGCATTGACTATCAACATTAATTAAAAAAAATTTTTTATAATTATATTTACCTGCAATATGGAAAATATTAAAGATTTGCAGCGCACTCAGTCCACGGTCTCTATGTTAAGTAAACGTTTTAAAATTGTTATAAATTTTAGTTTATATCTCCCTAGTTGGGTTACTTGACTTAGTTGGGATGGGTTAGTGGGCCTAGTTGGGTTATTGAAAATGAAAAATTTATTTTCGACGCTAGTCACGGGATACTTGGCAACTTAGAATTATGACTTTCAAAAAAAATAGGGAGGAGATTTTTCAATCCCCTCCCTAAGATAAGACATGCTCATCTGAGGTCGGCGCACAAAGTACGCTATCCAGATAGCACATCTTACCTGAAAACGTACGAGAACTTATTTCTCTTATATAATCACCAGTCACAATTTTGCTTGCGAGTTACAAGCACAGCTATAGGAAATCAGGGTATATTTTTAAATACGCCATCTACCTGTGCATCGATAAACTAGTCCAATAGATTTAACTTAGTTATATTACTGGGTTTGTTGGATTCAATTTCACAGGGAAGGAGTCGTTTATCGAAATAAAGTCGATCCGTACAACCCGAACCCCCCTGAATATTAGCCTGCTATATAAGGGTTCCCTTAGAAAATCAGAAAACGAAAAATTCAGCGGAAAATGACACTTTTCTCGAAAAAAATGTTGAAACGTTACGTATTAGATAGGGCTCGGAAAACAAAAGAGAGATCGAGAACCTGTAAGGTTCCGGGAGGCGGTTGAGTAGAAGGGATGATAATCGACTTTGAGCGAACGCTACGGAAAAGTTCCGAGCCTAGTTCCTCGGGGCAACTCGACTCGACAGTGAATCGGCACGACTGCCTTTCAGCTTTCCATCGTTCTAGCAAAAATTTCATTTATTTTTGTATTCGCGACGAAAATTTTTAATCCATAATAATAAAATGACAGTATATTGCCTATGAAACATAATAGTTCACCTTGCTTTATCATAAATGTTTGTTACAAAGTAAAATCGCACAGTGACGACATCCACGTGAGATCAGTCTGAAATTTTCATTTTGGAATATGCTTAAACGCGTATCCTTAAAATTTTTAGAAAAAGTTTAACAGCATAACATATATGAAAATATTATTTTTCGATGATTTTATCTATGACTAATTTTGAAGGTCTCTATATCATAAAAATTAAGATAATTTATTTTAAAAAATTAATTATAATTGCAGAGACTATTAAGAATTAGGTACTTATTTAGTATACATTTTGTTCAAATTTTGTACATACATATGTAAGAATTATGACTAAAATTCATACCTTCATTTCCAAGGAGGTTGACATATGATTGACTTTTTCTATATTATATAAGTACAATTTTTTCAGTGTTAAAAATCAAAAGCTCTGGTACCTAAAGTAAAATGTTTGTATTGTGAATTTTTAAATAGTTATTTATGAAACAAACAAACCTATTTTCTCCATTAACTGACCATAAGGGGCTGCCCTCAATATTAACAAGTAAAAAATATTTGTTAAAACTGGGTGGACAGCTGTATCTTGACTAAAAAGTATAAAGAATTGCAGTTTTTACTATTTCATCAATAATTTTTTCATTATAACCTTTTTTAATTAAATTAATATAATTAAATTAATAAACTGTTTTCATGGATACTTCTATTTATATATTTTTTATTTCACTAACCATTATTAACTACAAATTTGCATAATAATCAAGCGTGAAAACTCTATCGATAATTTCTGAATCTACATTTACTTTGACTTTAGATGATATTTAATTGTCGGTGGATATACATACCATTGAACGGTACTATTAAAACCAATGTCTACGAACTCTATTATACCGGCCTACCGACTTTAAATATCAATTCCAATAAACCAACGTACAAAATTTAAATCATAACTAATTAATAATTTCATCATGGAATATCGTGTAGTAATTTAATATACTTATTGTATTTTTATTGTTTTTGGAATTTAAATAGATAAAGAACATGAATATAACTAAAAAAACTGTTCTAATTAACAATTGCAGTTATACATTGGTTTATTTTAACAAAGTAAGTAAATCTGTAATATTAACACATGTTGATTATTGATTCTATGACTTTAATATTGTAACTATACAAAATTTATTGATGTAATTAAGGGCCTTGAAAAAAAAAAATAAAAAATAAAAAATAAGTGCATCTATTCTATTAAGAATATATTGAGCATCATCTATTTTCGTGTTCAGGCTCTCATTAATATATTTTCATAAAAGTTCGACGATTTCAATTATTTCTCTGAAAGTAGTTGGTAGTTTTGAATTAAATGATATAAAAGGTGGCACAAAGATGTCGCTAGTGATAGTAAATTTTGCACGTACCGTGTGCAAATTCGAATCTTGAATTATATTTTCAAAAAAAAATTATCATGATAACGGATATAATATTAATCTAATTTCACTTATGTGTGATATTTAACTGCTGATAATACAGTTATTCCATCAAAGTTTCAAGTAAAAAATTATGGAGATAAGAAGTATAAACCAACGTGCAAGCCTATATTAATTAGAATAAGAAGTTTTTGCTAATAATAATAAATGACACGAAGCATTTCAAGAATTACAAAACGTATGTTTTAAGACAGATTAATCTCTACTTGAAAATGTTAATTATCAATAGATTGACAATAATGTGTTGTTAATGTAATAAAATAATATAAAAATTAAAAACGATAATTTATAAGAATAATTCTATTTAATGTGCTTTTATCAATGATGCTTTGCAATTTTATATAAATATCAAATTTGATTTCGGATTTTAAACACAAAGTGACAGTGATGCGCCTAGCATTAGAAAATCGAAACCGATTGCAAAACATACTGACGTTACTAATTTGTTTTTATTTTAATATAACCTACTATTACTTATTTGATTTTCAAGAATATTAATGCTTAAAAATGGTCAAAGATCGTGATCATTTTGCAATAAACATCAAAAAACAAAAAGACAGATCGTTTTCTTCAGAAAACAATCGACTTAATTACTTATATTCATTTTGTCGTGAAAGTTTTGTGGCATCTCACAAAAGTCGAAGTGCACAAAGATATTTGAGAAGTCATGCTTCTATTGATTATGAAAAACGACGTCATGCACGTCATCACCCTTACATAATTCATCCATTTAGTGTATTCAGGTAAGAGACCTTTATCTTAGATAAGTTAGTTCATTAGATCGAAAATATCTTGACAGCCATTACATCTTCATATTCAGACATTGGTGGGATGCTTTAATGGTACTGATCATAGCGGCTGGCCTAATAGCTTTTCCTTATCAAGCCGCCTTTGATATGGAGAGAAGTGATTCTGCGTGGACTTTCATAAAGAATATTCTGATATTTTTGTACTGTTGCGACATCGTTATCAATTTTTTAACAGGGTAAAGTAACTTGTTTTTACTCACGTTTGAAAATATATGATTAATGCCAATATCCTATAAATTTCAATTTTATATGTTCCAAATTAAACCGTGCATGTGGTTTTCACAGATATTTTGATAATTCTCAAAGTATGGCGGAGTTAAAGCCAAAGAAAATAGCAATAATGTACGTTAAAAAAGCATTCGTTTACGATCTAATTGGATCTTTTCCAACAGATTTAATATTTATCAACAGTTGGAATAGCTATATAGTTGCTCGAGAAATGGCCTCACTTTTCCACATTTTTCGCATTATTTCATTTATAATATACATCAATAAATTAGCGCGAGATTACGAAATTTGTTGTGCTCTGTATGATTTTATTAGCACGATATTTTGGTTGGTAATTGCTCTGCACTGGGAAGCGTGTTTATATTGGATGGTTCCGGTGGCTGTTGTTTCTTTCGTTGCACCTGAACGCCCACACAATAATTCTTGGATCAATTCTATACAATTGTGGGACAATGCAACTAACGCAGATAGATACGAGCATTGCATGCTTCGAGCTATTTCGACACTAATGCACTCTGGATACCTGATCAAAACTGAGCCCCATACAGCTGAGGATCAGTACTTAGTGAGTAATCAAATTTTCTATTATTATCAAATTGAATTTGATTGCAATCTTGTCAACTCATGTTAAATTACAGGTAATTATTTTTCTATTTTTCGGAACAATAAAGATTTGTTTCCTATTAGCACAAGTGATGCAAGTTTTCAAAGGCACCAATTCGTCAAAATTAAAGTATCAGGCGGCCCTCGCACACTTATCTCAATACATGAGTCATAAGCAATTGCCGCGTAAGACGCAGAAAAGGATAGTGCAGTACTACGAATTTAAATTTCAAAGGCGCTTCTTCAGGGAGCCCGAGGTCTTGAGTATTCTTTCAATGCACATGCGTCAAGAGATCAGAATGCATTCGTGTCGTAAACTTGTAGAGAATGTAACTTTTTTTAACAATTTACCTATTTCTTTACTAGCTCGTATTGTCGGTCTACTAAAGTCAGAGATATACTTGACAAACGACTTAATTGTCAAAGCCAACCAAACGGGTGACTGCATGTATTTCATACAAATCGGTACAGTGGCTGTGTATACGCACAGTGGGAAAGAAGTTTGTCACTTGGAAGACGGTGCTCACTTTGGTGAAATAGCGTTAGTGATGTCAGACGCCAAAAGAGTTGCTAGTGTCGTTGCTGTTGAAACGTGTAAATTGTATAAATTGGAAAGAGCTGATTTTGCGCGAACGATTCATCCATACCCGATGCTGTGGGAGAGAATGAAAAAAATTGCTCTCGAGAGACATGAAAAAACTACAATACTCAACTCACAGTGAAAACTTTCGCGACTATTGTGATGTAAGCTGCTGTGCTATCTGTTTATTTTGCGTAGTAACGTAATGTGAATTATTTTCAAGTGAAAAAGATATATTGATATACTTTTAAATGTGTATTTGCCATGAACAATCGAAGAAAAGTTCAGCTAAGAAAAAAAAGACGATATCCATCGTTACCTTTCCTATCAAAAAGAAAATCTTGATTTCCACGCCGTATAAAGGTAAACAGTGGCAAGTTCCTTTCTCTTTTCAACAAGAAAGAAACTTTCGCACGACACTTTATCGCGATAGTCATAAATAATCTGTTCAATCGAATGCAATACAAAACCTAGTTGATTATCGATAATAGCCATAAATTATTTATAACATCATAATAGTAAGTCGATAAATCACCGACTAACAATAAAAAATTAGAAGTAAAATGAAAGTACGTTAAATATTTACATTTCAAAGAAAGTTATTTCCATTACGAGTTTACGTAATTGGCTATTATAATCGTTGGCTATACTGTGACAAATATAATGCAGAATTATTTGGCTATTATTATTAAACTTTTTATCAGAGCTAAAAGTGTGGAAAGTATTATTGATAAGGCCGTTTTTTACTTAGAGTGAACGTTTTTTTACGAATTCATAAAATATCCATAATAGTATTGTGTGGAAATAGTTTTCCAACCTAAATTGCTACAAAAAAATTAACGATATTTGCACTTTTCCATTAAAGTTGATTATTACAAAGTGGAAAAAATGACGATCAAGTAAAATAAAAGGCTGTGCAATGATAATGAATGATAAAGTGAGAAGGGCTGGCTTAAAGTGGGAGTAAAATCAGAATGGCGACCGAGTCTTGGGAGGGACGCCCCCGCTGGCAAGCGTAAAACAATGGATCGTGCGCATCGACGCATGGGCAATAAGCGCCATGAGAGCTAGTGGCTCGAGGCTTTTCAGCCTTTGGCGTAAAGCGAAGGAGCGAGAGAGCACGCGCAGACAATGGTGCGCTCGTGGGAGGATTGGAGGATCCCCCTATTGTCATAGGTCGACGATGCGCCTGCCTGGCGAATTCCACGTATAGGGTTGAAGTGCCGGCCCTCCCGTTGTTCTCTTAGCGCACCTCAGTGATGCGCGCGCAATTCCCCTTATTTCTGCTTCTACGCTCTCCTTGCTACCAGGCACGATCGTGGGCTTGGCTATGAAATCCAAAGTACTCTTTACTTTTTATTCTTCAATAGGAAAGAATCATCCAGAAAGTACAAGTCAAATTAAATTACGTATTGAAGGCAATGTGTTTTTTCCAATTTTTACGCATATAAATATGTCTGTCATATTCCATAGACAAGAAGAATTTCCGCTATGATAATAGTCAGTAAAAAATCCCTTCATAATTTACTGCAGCAGAGGTAAGAACTGTAAGTCAATAAATTTTATATATAATATACTAGAAATAAATACAACATAAATTATTGTAGGCAAGCGTACTAGACGTTTTCCAACGACAGCATGACTGTATTGTCAGTCCGATTACTCGAATAACCTGACCTCTATAGTAGGCCGGTTCGAACACAACCCATTGTTTTTATAGGCTTGCGCATCTTTACTAGTCGCTGATTAGACGGCAATTTTTTCTTAATACATTAATTTTCTATTTTTTCTGATTTTATAATGACTTGTATGAAGATATATTTGTTCGTATCAGAAGTACGAAATCGATGAGCCAAACAGAATGAACCATTTTTACAACTAATGCATTCGATAACGTTAAGACGATAAGGTTAAGACGTTTACAAATTTAACAGACATAATTGATTGATGCAAAGAATCGATAAATAGGTGCATGCCAAATTACCTATTCCGCAGTGCATTTTTTCAAGTATAAGAATGTTTCTGTTCAAGGGATAATACCGCGCAGCAAAAATATCGATGAAGTGATTATTATGCTCCATTACAAGGGAAAAATGAGCGTAAATGTTAGAGAAAATTGATATTTGGTTAAAGCTCGAGAGGAAAAAAGGTCAAAGTAATTCTGTAGAGCTGTACAAGAGGCAGAATGGCTGGTTGCATCCGCGGAAAAGACAGAGAAGGAGGGATGAGGAGGGCGGAAGCGAGAGCGCGTCAGTGTATGCGAGCGAGCGATGTGGCAACCCGGGAAAATCGGGTGGGCGCTTGGCAGGTATATACGCGTTGTGTCTCCTCGAGGTTGGCGCTCGCTAGCTCGAGCAGAGAGATGCCTATAGTAACAAAAGCCCCTGGCACACCGAGACTCGGGTCGATACTTCACGGCCCTCCTCCTCCTCCTCCTCCTGGCCTCCATCCCTCTCGCGCGAGCGCACCCCACCTCCTTCTTGCCTTGCCATGCCCTTCTCTCCTCCTCCTCCTTCATCCCTATCTCTCGTCGGCTTTTATTTCCCGTCTCTCTTTACCCTTTCTCTTACGGGCGCTTGCTTGCTCGCTCGCTCGCTCGCCTGCTTTTTTCTCTTTCGCGTTCTACTCCATTCCTACCCCTCGCGCTCTCCACCTTGCGCCGTACTTTATCCCCGGCCTTTTTCTTTCCCTTGACTCTGTGTTTTGCTTTCCCATTTTACTCGTCTGCCCCTTTCTCCTGTCCCTGTCTAGCTTCTCTTGGTACTGGCGTTTTGTTTTTCAGCATCCCTTTGCTCCAGACGAGTTGCCCGTTTTTTTCTATTCTGTGCATCTCGTGTCTGTTTTACTTTGCTGCTTTTTACTCTCCGCCACTGACAAATGTCGTGTGCTGAAATACTATTTTCTGCCAACATTTTCTCTCTTCCGTTCGTTGACAATTTTCTTTTTATTTATACATAAAATCTTCAATGCTTCCATACAATCGTTCATTCTGAATAAGCTATATAGCTGGAAAAATATCGATCATTCAATTCGAATACAATCAATTATATGGATGTACGCGATATTTATCGTACAGAAAAATGTTTTTATTTTGACAAAACTCATTGGATCGGTTGAACTTACTTTGCCAAGACACCCAACCCCTCTTTTACCTAAAATACTTCTCTCGTTATATTCGTACCCCTCCCTCTCTCTCTCTCTCTCTCTCTCTCTCTCTCTCTCTCTCTCTCTCTCTCTCTCTCTCTCTCTCTCTCTCTCTCTCTTGGTATTCCTATTCCTCCGAGCACGCGTACGACTTGCACAGGTGCGCACCGACTGATTGATCGTTTACCGATACACGTACACTTGAGAGCGTCCAAGATGAAGGAGGTAGCTGCGCGCGACGATGCGAATATTATGCATTGATGAGGGCAGTAAACGCTCCAGTGCATGTAGCCAGAATATTAAAGCTAAATATTCGTTTACATTTATGCGCGGTTTATTCAATGAGCATGCGCCTATTATTCTTGTTAAGTACAGACTCCTAAAACTTCTATACATAGAATAACGATAATGACTCTGCTCATTTCGTTTTATTTTTATCCAGTGCAGAAAGCAGACCCTTTATAAAAGTGTAATCAACTTTTCATTTTATATTTATTATGCGATATATAGTCGAAAAACCGTTTTAAAGAATTTTCAAGAGAAAAAGTGAAAAAGTTACAAAAGTTATAGATATGCTCGCAGGGAGCGTATTATTTTCGCAAATGCCGGTAGTAGTAGTATTGAGTACAGAACCGGCGCAGAATCTCAATGCACAAGAGATACTTATTGATATGGTCTTCCGCTCACCATTGACTTTCATACGTAAGGTAAAAGGCAAACCCCTAGTCTTCCCGTGCACTTCCGGGATAGCTGCGGTATATCAATTTTTCACGGAGCTCCCCAGCAGATTTATAGCTACTTATATTCCGCTACTGATGCTTTCCTACCGAACCTGAGTAAGCGGAGTTAATAGAACGGTTAGTTTATTCTTAAAAATATCAGCTGCACGAAAAGCAATTTGAAAAGAAATTCAAGAATGATTCAATTTATTATAGAATCTTTAAAAAAGAAAATATCAAAATATCGCACCTATTGTAATATCAGATTTAATCATTTCCAAGTAATGTCATTTGGGCAGGAATCCCTCGTCCTCTATATTTTCCTCTCGTGTCTCTCGGCAACAAAACATGAAAAACGTTTGTTTGAAGCTGAGTGCAGTGTGGGTAAGGTAGATTGGCATCCTCGTGAATTTTTATGATATCGTTACTTTCTAGATGCATACAATCAAGGGCGATGCATTAAACAATCTTCTTTATGAGAAATCTTTATGAGAGAGAGAGAGAGGGAGGGAGAGAGAGAGAGATAGGGAGAGAAGGAGGGCGAGAGAGTGAGAGAGAGAGGAGCTTGGCCAACCGGTTCTCAAAGCCGTAATCCTAAGGACCACCGGACCCTGGCATCTTACTCACCCCTCCGACTGCTAACATAACTTCTAAGAGAGCGAAAATAAAGAGAAACTATCTGGTTTCATCCTTCTTCTAATTAAACATCAAATAACTCTGGCATAATGTTTCTCTTACTCACGCGCGATGACTTTGAGACAATGACGACTGCTGATTATTGAAAATACTTACAACCAGTTTGGTTACAGCCATCGTCAAAGTATTGTCTTGGCTGATGTTGAGCGAGATTTATATAAGCGACCGCTGACAGAGAAAGATCTCATTTCGCGAGAGCGATTTGTCGAAGTCGCGCGCAGCAGAAGGCCGACAAGGCCGATGGCAAGTAATACAGAAGGAGGAGCGGCTCATACGTATATAAAGCAAGAGACCAAGACAGAGAGACAGAGAGAAAGAGAGAGAGAGAGAGAGAGAGAGAGAGAGCCAAGTTAATGTATTCCGCGGGAGCGAGAGGAGACAGCTCCCTCGTAAATCGCGCGCGAGCGCCGCGTGACAAGGCACTTACAATATTCGGCCGTCTGTCAGTCGTCCTCGTCGGGGATGATACCGCTGCTTGTGTTTATAGCGCGATGTCAACAGGCGCGCCGCTTCTAATGACGCCATAGATCCAGCGATCCTACCCAGCGGGTGGCAACTATCGTCGCATCACGCAACATCAAAC